TTGTATCTGTAGCTAGTTTTTCAACACATGGAAGAGAGCATTCCTGAGTATCAGATTATGTAAGCAACGTTACTTGCTAGTGCCCCCCACTCCTTTACAAACATTAGTTGAATTCAGAATAAACTATAGCAAGTAAGGTAAGAGGTAGATCTTACAAGGCCCAAGAAAACGTGCGCGCGTATAATATATTTTAAAATCTGTTATTCATTAGTTTTCATAATACATATGTGGGTTATTAGTATCTACATTGGCTATACCAGTGAGCCTTGACCATTCTACGAGGATACTTCACAAACTGAAAAGTAGCCACCCTATTTTATAGTACACTGGTAATATCTTTCCTCAAAGAAGAAAGCTTCTCAGGTGGAGAATGTCAAACAAATGGTGAGGCCTACCATTCAGGAATACTTAAATGGCATTAATTTTGTTAACTGTAAAATTTTATTACATTTCTGCACTCAGTTGATTGTAAAAGTGGATTGCTACATAATTTGTCAAACGAATTAATGCAAAAAAATCTATACATTGCTTATCACATGTTATAACCACCTCATTAAATTGGCACTAATCTTTCAAGTACCATCTTTGCAAAGTAGGTACAAAGTTGTTTTGTGCCTCACAATATTCAACAGAAAAAGAAATGAAAATTATAGTAAAGTGTTTGAAATGAAAATTATAGTAAATGATAGGTGAAGGCAACAGCAGCAAGAAGGGTATAGCAGATACAATTTAAAAATTATATTTCTGTATATGCATCACTGGATAATATTCTGGTGCAACATTAAACAAGTACATGTGAGGGAGCAGAAGTAACAGCAAACAAATGGTAGCTTTAATATTTTGCAAAGTGTGCTATGTCCAAAAAACCAATTGAAGAGCATTGTGTGAAGTTTTCTCTAGTTAGTAACTTCACGCTGCAAATTTGTAGCTGTTGACAACAATCTTTAGTTTGGTAATTGTTTCACGGCAATTGATCTTTTGGACTTTTGAAAAATATAATCTGTAATTTGCTGTCAAGAGATGTTAAACAAAAGTTAATGATTTATTCTTTCAACATTTATTCCCTACATCAGATTTCAACATTTTGTTTTAAAAATGTAACGCAACCCTTTACTTTTCTTGATATTATCTAAATAAAATTTAACCAAGAATCACAAACCTAATGATACAGATGTCACGTTTAAAGAACAGCATACAATTTTAAACTTTCATGTCAGAACGTGGTTATTGTGTGTTGCAACACACACTTGGGATTTGAAGATATACAAATAAGCCAAATGTTGCAGATAAAAATTCAAAGGCTTTCTCTAAAACAATGAATAAATGGAATTTGTTTTATAAGGATAGATTTAAACATTCAGATTTTCTGGCTCCTAAAACATGTTCAGTTTATTTTAATACTTAAGAAAAAAGGTAAATGTTTCAATGACAGTATTGTATTTCTAGAGGGTTATTTTACATTCGGTGAAATAAAACTTCACTATTTTTTTGCACTGATATTGCCTGAATAACTTTTAGAAATAAAAGTTTCGTAAGAATGTGTCCAGAAAATTAGTTTTGAAAAAATCTTACCTCTTGTGTGATTTCCATTCAGCATCCATAGGGTATCCCCTGCCCCTCAAGTGTACCTACCCTACATTCCTTGCAAATAAGAAAAAAATGTGTAAATAGATGATATCACATTCCTTTGATAATATTGAGTCAAAAGTAACTAATAGTGTAATCACATAGGCAAATTTATTTTTAGTAATAGTTCTGAAAATTTTGAAAATTGTTCAAAGATTTATTAACATTACTCACTAACCTCAAACACATCTGGTTTAAAAGTAGTAAGATATTTACTGATACTGTATGTTTAAAGCATTGAGAAGATGGATCACAATGAATGTTTAAAAGAAAATTGCAACGCTTTCCTGAAAGGTTACGTAAGTCGAGTCCGAGCATGCATATGCAACAACCAGAGCTTTGGGCACAATAAAGTAAATAAATGAAAAATCAATAGTCTTCCACAACATAAATACTAATATACCATTGTGAAGATTGTAGATTGGTATTACCACCGTAAATCTCCAATTTTGAGATTCATAAAAGGAAGTAATATTGCAAAGACGTACCCAAAATTAGAAGAACATTTTCCATCAACATTAACTCCCTTACTTTCAACATACGAGATACTTCACAATGTATCTTCTCTGCATTAAATAGGACATCACCTTAGAAAAATATCACAATAATTAATTTAAAATTAATTACCAGTCCATAGAAATAATGTGTGTTGACAAATACATGTATTTTTTGTCACTCAATGCTTCTGTCTGAAAATTGTTAAATACTAGTACAAAATATCATTTAATTCAACTTCTGTGAAATCTCTGATCAAGATAAAAATTTTAGTGAACAGCAAAATGGAGTAATTTCACACAGCAAATAAAAATCCGAGTTTTGTATTACAAACATTGTTTGATAAGAAAGGTTACTTAACAAAAATTAATTTTATTCTTATTCTTACATTTCAAATACACATTTTTCTTGTGATAAAATATAGCATCCCCAGAGCTGATTTTAAAATTTATTTTTCTTCAGCATATCATAAATCACATGCCGAAATAAGAAAAACAAGTTCACTTAATAGAAGTATTTTGGATAATTAATCAATATTGGGATAGAAAAGTTCAGCAAGAAGCATTAGTAGTCATGTGTATCTATACAAGTATACACACAGTGCCTCATTATAAATGATACAAACATCTAGGGCATATATGATGTCAAAAATGACTTCTTGAACTTTAGGGAAAATTCATAAAAGTTACATATATGACATTTGCCCTTCATTGGTGGCCAACTCATTATGCAGTAATGTTTGGCAAGTTAGGTTTTGCAGTCAAAAGTGATTTTGTGTTCTTGTCCAACACTAGTGTGTGATGAGTTGCCTTAGGTGTGGGAGGTGGGGTGTAACATGCAACTTTGTCATACGCAATTTCCCAAGTGATCCATTGCCCCCCCAGCACTCACACGTTTGTACCATTTATTCTGAGACAGCAAATATATTATATACCCACAGCTCTGATTAATGTTAATAGAGTTCAGGATTGCTTTTATTCGGTACCTAAATAAACCGAGGATTCTGGATGTATTTTAAAAGTAAGTATCCTCAAGGATGTAACTGGAACATTCTCACAAATATCGTGCAAGGAAGTGCACCAGTTCAAGACATTCAATACTGAGGTGCATCTTGTGCTGTGAATCTGTGTAACACAGGCATGCTCTGTGACACACCACACTCAATACACAGTATCAAAATACTTAGGGATGTAAGGAACATAAAATTAGGGGTCCACAAGGATGCAAATGGTAGAGAAACAAATATGTAAGGAAAAAATATAACACTAACATTTAGAAATCACTACTGTATGTAACACTGACAACCATTTAAAAATAATTTTGACATTCTTGGCAACACTGTTAACAGGCACTAAAACTCTGAATACTTCAACACAAAAGAGGCACTAGTCTGCTCAAAGTGTCAAGGCAACTTTGTATATAATTCAATACTATATTACAATCTTCGACAAAATCAAGAAGGGAAATGGAATCATGATTCACTACGAAGTTGTGAAAATTAACTGTTCAAAAACTGACATATTTTTTTAAAATGTACAATTCCAAAATTAATATTAAAAGCATTTTAATGGCAAATGCATAATGTCTACACAACACTTACAGAAATAGCCAATTCTCACAACTTGTAATGCAATACAAGAGATTCCTTGCAACGATAAAATAGAAACATAAAAATGGACAATCAATCCACCACTTCAGGTAAAAAATTACATTATATCTCACAGCCCTGATTCAAAACATGTCATCTCCATCGAAGTTGATTGTCTTCTATATCTAAAACGTATTAAATTATCAAAATTATTAAAATGAAAAACCTAATGACAACGTATAGCACCATACCCACCATAGTATATTATTACTCTACTGAGACATTGCAGAAGAACTGTTTTTAAGTTGAAAAACCCAAAAACAACTAGTTTTAAGCTGGAAGTGGGTAATTACAGAGTGTTGAACTGTACCACACAAGTTAATTATTAAATAATCAAAGAACGCTTTGTCAGGAAGTTGACAATTATTACAGTGCAATCCCAATAATTATATATAATGTTTCACTGTTCATGCAGAACATTAACATGCTTACCCATTACAATTTTATTAAAAAACATTTGAATTTGAAAAGATTGACAAATTTTCCCACCTATGAATTTCTATTTTCTTTCTTGCGGGATTAATTTTATTTCAAGAAAATAAATGCTAGACCCTTAAGAGCCGACCTCAGTCCCCAAAAACATCCCGACCTCAGTCCAAAAAAATCTATAAGAATATTTGAAGCACATACTGTTAACATATTAAAACAAATCCACATTTGAGGAATACAGTAGCTTACATATTTCTGTACTTCAGATGTAAAGGACACTATGTCACATTTACCTAATTTTACAGGCATGCAGTTTAAAATGGTGCACTTGAATGTAAGCAAATGTTGCTTTGACTGCTTCTAACTTTGTTATTAATGTCTTTTGGAGATAGTTCTCAATACCTCCAGGATGATCAATAGTATCAAAGCAACTGTGTTAAAATTTCTGATTTAGAAAAATATTGACATAGTACCCTTTCCTCCAAAGTACACGATAATACCTTGACTATTACTTCCTCATGTTTAACAGATAAGAATTGAAAGTTGCTAGTTTGAGTGTCTGAAGAGATCTGTCTGAGAGAAGTGTCTTTTGTGGTTGCTTCCAATCCACAAATATGAATTTTCAAATGTTATGCACACTTGTAGCAAAAATATCCAATAAAGAAACAATGTTTCAATTCAAATACATAAAAGTAATTAAGATTGCACTGTGTATATAAAAATCTGGTTCTTTGCAGAAACAAGAGTGGAAGCTCACAAGTATGGTGCCCTTGCTGCAAGTATCAGATGATACATTAATCTATGTGCTGAATTTGTTGCAGTTTCAAAAAAAAAATATATATATAAAAAATAAAAAAATTCTTTGACATTTATGCAAATGTCGAGAACAATTTTTAAATCATTGCACATGTAGTTCAACATTGCACATCCAAAGCTACTTCAAGAAAGTATCTGAAGTGTCACTTCACATTATAGAAGGAAAACCTTATATTATTTTTACAATGAATTTCATTTAGGACATGTTTCTTGAAATTAAATCCAAATCTACAAAATCCACATTCTCAAGACACAAATTTAAGGGTAGTCTTCAATTTTAAATTTATAGTAGTCTCACCCTTAATTGTTCTTCAGTATTTACACATGAACTCACAACAATACATTGAGAGACATCACAATGATCTTCTAATTTGTGATGAATAAATCCTCAAAATATACTCTAGTAATTGCAGAAAAATTGTCAAAGATTAAAATGCTTCCTCTTTATATAACAAACAAAATGAAAGGTTATTGACACCACTCCCTTACACAAACACAGACAAAAACTTCAGTGCAAAATACAAAGATGGAACGTTAATTACAAAGTAGATCAACTTTTTCTCATGTTTTAGATATGTAATGTCCACCTTACAAAGTTTTTGGTTTAGTTGACATTTCTGTTTCAGATTAAGATTTAATTTTTCAAAGAGTCATAATTGTAATTTCCATACATCATAGAGCATAAAGATATATGATACTCCTTGGCATAAGTAAACCAATACATTAATAAATAATAAGCAAAAATAGTCACACTATTCTCTCAAAAGGTACAACAAATTCATACAGATCTGAGTTGATAAATTATTTAATTAAGTCCCTTACACATTAGTTCTTTATTTTGCTAGAAAGGATGAAGAAGCAACTGCCCTTCTTAAAAGAATACACAGTTAACTATTGGTTTATGAAGTAATTATAAACTGTCTACTGCTAAAAATAAATGAAAAAGTTTCCATTTAAAACAACTTTTAAAACTTATTCAGGTTCTTACTTCACAAAAAGATGTGATCACTATTGATTTAATCATCTCACGGCCAAAATTTTGAACTGTAAAGTTCTTGCAATAGTAAGGCTCCCCCCATCTCCCAAATTCTCATCTTTCTAATACTAATAATTTTTATGTAGGCACCATGAAAATTTCAAATACTTCTACACTGCAATACTTGTTATTGTACTATATAAATACATGTAACAAAAACTCCTGACTCCTCAGAAGAGAAGTAATAAGGAAATTATTATTCACAGGCATGTGAGTATTATTACATGATCATATGTGATTAAAACAATTTCCAAAAATGCACCTAATTAAATGACGAAACTGCTTCGCGAATACTGTACAATAATTTCATTACAGATCATGTTTTCCTTCGTTGTATTCTAATTCCGTTGGGTTTCGTAACATTTTTAATTTATTTGCTAGAACTTTGTCAATTATCATATTTATTGAAATACAAGGCGAGTTTTTTCTGCTCATTCGAGAAACACGGGGTGAGAAATTTGAAAGTAGGCCACGTCCGCTGGAATCAGTAATTTTAATTTACCTTTCGATGTAGCAAAACTCGAATTCTCACGTACCAATATGCCGCAAAGGCGATAACAAACCCTATCTACTTCCTAAAACGTGCGTAAAGGTCAATTTCGTTCTAACAGACACGGAAACAGAACGTCGAAAACAATTCTTTAGTTGCGAATGCAGCCAGTGTTCCATAAATCATACCAAAAGCTGTCCTGTCTATTCGCCCGTTTTCTCCGCAATTGTGCAAAGCAGACCTTTTCGCAGGACGCAACAAGCAAGGCTACATTCGAATGCAAGTTGGGTAAAAGTTGGGCAGCGAGCATTATTCGCAAACATTTGACGCACATTTCAGTAGCACTTAATTTCTCAAACACTGAACTTATAAAGAAACGGATGGAACCAGGTACAATGAAGCACTAGAGAATAACATTAGTGTTTCGTTAGGAAATTCAGTGGAAAATTTCGTCACTGAAAATTCGGCCAAAAATGTTGCACATTATTATCTTATTTTACATATCGAAAAGTCAGACTGACGATAACTGGTTTCCCTTTCTATCAAATACTTTAAGCTGCATTCCAATGCAAAAATGTTACATACCTTTCAATGTCTTTCTGTATAATACCTAATGATAATTACGGAAATTTTCTTGGCACTCATAACGTGCAAAGCGAGATAAACCTGTATTTTTGAGAGGGCCGACAAAGTAAATCTCGAATGGTACGCGAAACGCAAAACAAGGGACGCAAATCGGCAGCGATTTTGTTGGGATAGGAGGATATAAGAGTTCAAAACTCCACCACTCGAGAAATAAAACGATGTATGTATTTGGTATTTTTGTACGACTTTGCCGGCAAACTAACAAACGTGATAAGTAAACAGAGATAGCACACGCAAAAAGACTTTCAGAGTACAATTTTATTACGACTGAATCGTAAGATTTAAATAATAAACACATCCACGACCGCCCCCTCCCACATACACACAGGGAGAAAGAGAGGAGAGAAATAAATCAACTCTCAGGATGCCTCTGAAAATAAGGGAGGTAGTTTTCCATTGAAATTGGCTTCTATTGTCATAAATATGGTAATGAACTGAGAGTTAATGTTTTATAAATTCTGTTGGCCTTATGTTGTAAATTATTTTGGAATGAGAATGAGTTAACTATTCCAAATAAGGGAGAAAAAAGTTAAAACCAAGAATACCTATGATGCTCCATTTCATTAGTACAAAATATTTGTTTCCTAAATCTGTCTTCAAAGTAAAGGTGCCATTGTAACAAGTGCCATCAATACTGTCACCAGGCACTTGGAGAAAATGTCAAATTTTCTGCCCGGATTTTCAGAACATGACTCCAGAAATAGGTTCATGGAAAATTCATTTTTGCACCCCCTCCCCAACGTTTCTTTTCTGTCAGTTTATAATTTACATCACTGCTAAGGATGGTGCCAGATAGAGACTGGCAACAGAAAAATGGCCATACTCATTTGGAAGCTCTAAAATAAAAATACCATGATTTGGCGACAAATATGCCAGGCCATACATTTTTTCTGCAACACAGCATTAAGTATTTTCACAATACAATATTTTAAACTGAAAAGATAAGAAAATCTTACTCAAAATGCACCAAAGGGCTTGGATGTTAATTGAATTCTGCAGTCACAAAGAAACTACTGCATGTTACAAGATTTTAGTTTTCCAGAAACTTACGACAAAATATTTATCAGATTATTTTTAAAAATACCAATATTTTTTTGCAAATTGTGCAGACTTCTTTTAATAGAATGAAAAGCTTCAAATTATAATGAATAATTTTTTTCTGAGCTCTCCACATAAAATACATATACTCAATAATACATCACAGATATAATGAAACTATGGAGATCTTTGTAATGAGTTTGTTATAGTATAATTTTGTTGTAATGAATGACATTAATTCTTTAAACAAAATTATACTATATCCATAACACTCATTATACTAAAACTTTAAATTTCATTAAAATAATTTCATTTAACAAATAAACCATAGGAGGAATCTGGAAATAATTTTGTTAAATGGATTTTTTGATGTACTGATATTTCACTAATATAGTTGTAAGGTTTTTCCTCTCTGCAGTGTCTTAACTTCTAAAATTTACTGTCAAATTCAGATAATTCCTTGGAATAATAGTAATATTTTGTTTATTTGGTTTTAAATGTTTGCAAATTTTCTAATTTTTCATAGAATATGCTCCCTATTATAAGAGGGTTTTAGTATTTTCCATGATGCCTCAATTCAATATGAATTCTAATTCTTTAGCTTAAAATAAAAATCTTCAAAAAAATTGAAGAGAAGTTTAGTCCTAAATTTATCACAACAGAGTCCTTGTCTTATAAAAAAAAAATATTTCATTGGGCTACAATATTATTAAGGTTGCAAACCAGTATTTTCGTGCATCCCAGTAATTTTCCCATTCTGACTACAGCAGACAAAACATTATTACATAACTTTATAATCCAATGACAATTTTTTATATAATATAGTATACATAGATGATAATAAAGTACGTAAGAGAAAAAAACAATTATAGGTCATTCTTATTAAAACTGGACAAAATGTTCATACCTCTTTCCAATTAGGTTAAAGATAAGACAACATACTTATTTAAAAGTAAAAGTAAACAAAAACATGTATGCAGCCAATATTTTTAGTCTTTAATTATAAATTTAATGTAGTCAATTATACTTTATTTGGTAAAAACATTGCTTTGGGTTTGGGATAGGATTCTCAATTCACTTTGCTTACACATACTGACCCAAATTGTTGTAATGTTTTCTGAAATGTATCTCTGCTCTTTACCGTGTAGCAGTGAAACAAAAACAAATTATATAACACAATCATGCGATTCAGACCGTATAAGATTGAATTTTTATCAATTTGGTCATCTTTGGAAATGACAAGCAAAAGGAATGACATCCAGTTTTAAAAGTTATACCCATGTACTCATTAATGTGAAGGATTTATTCAGCAGTTACAAGGATTTCTGCAACTTTTTTCTTTCATTAACACTTAAAAAATAAGCTTGACTTTGACAATAAAATCAAGTAACTCTGAGTGTCCCTTGATTCTCCAAGAAAGTAATTCATACTTTTCTATTGCATGTAATTCACATATTATTATTATATATTATTGTTTTATGAATTTATAAAAGTGTTAAATAGACGAACAATTGCATAAGCTTTAAATAATAATTTTCTCTTGCTGCACCATATGGTCATAATTACTGAACCAAATTTGATATTGACAATGAATGATCTCTGATTAAAGAAAGAATACTGGGCACACACTTTTATATCCTTATTTATAAGTTCTCTTATTTTTAATCTGATTGGAATGAATTGGAAATTTTGGACATTTTCAATAAGAATCACCCTTATATAAATATAAAATAAGTATATGTATTTTTTAAATTCCACAAACATCACTTATTATTTACTCTTCATGGAAGCTACTGATCAAGTAAGTAGACTACTTCCACACTACAATAATTATATTCATACTGCTTTGTCAGTATTAACTATTCTTTGTTTTAATATGTACACACATTATTTTAAGTTGAAATTAAAAAAAAAAAAGCAATTCTATACATAATTACTGCCAATTACATTATTTGTACTGAATTTGTACTAAAATCCTGAAGTATCAGGGTACAATATATAAAATACAAAAAAGTAAATTAGTTTCAGCATAGAGCTGTCAATCCTATAAAATTCTGTAAACTGACAAAATTTCCTTCATTTTTTAGAAATAGAAATAATCTGTGGTAAAGATAGATTTTTCAATTTAAATACACTATATTAATGACAATCTACAAAAAGCTAAATCACAGTAACCATTTGCCTTAAACCCCTAATTTCATTTAACAATTTTTAGCATCGTAAACTAAAAGATCATTGCAGTGTTTTCTACAAAATTAAATCGAAACAATACGCATGAAATATTTTAGAAAATTAAGGGTAAGACTATAAAATTACAAGCGTTATCTTTGAAGAATATAAAAACTTAACTATTTGTTTCTTCACAATGGCACTAATCAACATTCTTGCAGCAAGAAAATTAATGAAATACACTGTCAAGACCCAACAAAATTTGCTGCAATACTGTCTATTCTTTGACAATGTATGACCTCAGGCAATACAGTGACACCCCTTTATAGTGTTTTGGTCAAATTCAAATTCCTAACAACATGCATTTCAAAATGTAAATTGCAATACTTTCTTGTTTCAATATTTTATATATATAAAATATATATATATATATATAATATATATATATATATATATATATACTATATATATATATATATATATATAGTTTTACAAAGTTAATGTACGAAAGGTATTCATCTAAATCATAATTTTCTTTAACTTTCCTTTGCACAATAACAAAGCACATCGGTTGGTAGACAGATAGGATAGTTTAGAAAAGAACAGAATCTCTTTTAACATTGAATACCAAACAGTTCCCAAACTGGCAATGTCTACCATGATACTTCCTTGAACGGATTATAATGAATATTCACTCTCAGTACTTAAGTATCATGCAGATACTCAACTTGAAAATCTGAAATGCATAGTACAAGATGTTCAAAAAGATAACTGATTAATGCCCTGAATAACAAAACATTTATACTTTGAAGATTTAAAAATCAGTTGGTATACCTTTGAACAAAAAGATTTGTAAAGATGACAGTGCAGAAAGTAGTCACATGCAAATGCAAGTGTCACGTTAACTTGAATCTTCTCATTCTTAAATAGATTTGCAACATTTTCAACATGCATGTGGATAAACCACTATAAAATAATGAAAAAAGAACAAAAATAAATATGTGGATACTGAAATGAGATGGCACAATATTCAGAAAACCACAATTATTCTAGAACACTGTAAATGGGTTTCACTGTATCTGTGTTGGACCTATGATAAAAGGATGACTATCCTTCCTATAGAACACAGTATCAAGATGTGGTAAAGAATGAAGTACAAACTTATTCTTCATTCATTGTCTTCATACCTTGGGCATCTTCAGGGCCTGTATTGTTGTATGAGATCCGAGAAATTGAAGCCTGTCAAGTCGAAGTTGCCATCATCAGAAATATCCACACTTGGTAGTTCGTAGTCCATGTCTACACCGCCAGGGGCCCCCTGGTAGCTGCAGATAGAGAGACAGACACGTGTCACTTCCGCTCAACACTGCTTTTCTAGGGGCGACAAAGTCCAGAACTGCAAGGCAGCCACACACACAACCAGAAGTGCAAAAATGTATGCATTCCATGCATTTAACATTAGCTAATGATACCAACTTGACAATAACACATCAAAATAACTATCAACAGTAGTCACATTTATCTAGATGTGGAGTTACATGCATTTTCTGTGGCTACAGGGCTTTTCACTGACCCTGACCTTGCACAATGTGCGCTGCACTTTGTTTCCCCAGTGTGGGATACTTGTTGCATAAAAACACCATGGGTCAACAGAAGGAATGAAGCAGCTTATGCCACGCAAGGATAGAAAGCTGTATCCAGTTGTCACTTGAATTTATAAGGAGCCTATGTATTGATATTGAATGTACTGCTTCAGGGTTGAAGAAATGCAGGTTTGAGCCAATCATTCCTCTTGTTGACTCCTGGTGGTGGTGACATTGTGTCCATCTCTCTATCCTCAAGCATAACGCTGCCTACATTCCTAACTGAACGAGTAACCATGCACACACAAAGAGGACATTTTGCTTTCAACTACAGTAACCTAGGTAGAGGTACACAAACTACACTTTCAAACTAACAAAACACAGAAAGGGTTGCTATTTAATCAAGCAATGAAATAGGATCCCCACATATCAGATGAAATCAAAGGAACAAAAGAAATAATTTGTTCACAGATATAAGAATTTTCAAACATCAAAAGCACTTTAAAATCTTATTACTTTTTAATACGCCCAGACAAGCTGGTATTACACAATTATATGAACTTAATAACATTATCATGCAATAAAATGTATCACGCCACAAAACTGTAGTTTTGAGTACTGCATTCCGAGTAGTCGAAATAAGCACTCACTAAGAATCAGGCTTCTCTTAAGAAACAATATTATGATGCAACCATTAAAAGAAGAAGGAAATGTTCACAGAAAATAAGTAAAATAGAGCAGTGGAATAAGGAACAATGATGGGAGTTCAAAAGTATACAATCTGGAGAGAGAAAGAGGAAGAGTACTCAGAAATTCAGCTAATTTGGTATGCATGAGAATAAAGGGTGAATTAAAATTTGTTCTTTCATCTGCAAGAGAAAATGTTATTTCACAAAATGAGATTATCAGAACATATTCAATACAATATTATAAGGATAGCAATAGAAAAGGAAAGAAAGGTATGATTTGAATTCTGTTATAATATAACAAGCTATCATCACAGATGCTTGTCTGACAAAAAAAAAATAAATAAATAAAAAAATCATGTCTCACAATGAAAAGAGTACAATGATAGTTACTCTTTACTCAAGAACAAGGAATACAAACATGGAATACTTTACAGCTGCCAATAAAGAATTTCCAAATACTTTTTTGAATTATTCAACCAGATGTATTCAATAACATCTGTGATCAATGAGCTTCAACACCAAGTATTTTAATTTACTCCAATTAGATAATACACCTTTACTCACACATATAACAATCATATGTTTGGAATGTATGCTGAAGCCAGAAAAAAGACTCATGAGATTGCTGAAATAATAGAGAGCAAAAACTTGAAAAGCCAACTTCATATTGTTACTTATCAGTTTTAACTGTTCTCATCACAACATAATTAAAATGTCAAATATTACAGGTGGACTCTGCTATATTGCTTGACACTAGACTACTTGTTTGTTTTATTGCCCAATATTAGGCCAACATTTGCAAATAAAATTTAACATTAGAACAATCAAAATTTATTAAACATTTTTCAAAATATATCTCTGTTCCTTGTCCATTAAGCAACTGTTCTGCTTAAAAAGCAAAATTTCAACAGATCATCAATGCAATAAATCATCTATAACAACTGCTGTCATATATATATCTATATATATTTATATGTATTTATTGAAACCTAATGATGTGCTGCGCACTATCTTTAACACCCCTTGTCACTCTTAAAAGCTATATCCTTAAAATCTTCTTATAGAATTATTAATTTCATAAAAGCAAGTTAATATACATAATTTTAGAAGAACCAAATAGGTTGGTTTCATACTGAAATAGAATTTACAACTTGGCAATTATTAAAAAACAGGATAATGTATTTATGGAACACTTTTTCAGTAAATTAAAAGTTTATATGTTTGTAACATATTTAATAAAATAAAAGAAAAATTCTATATTGCACAACTTCCAATAATTCACTAAATGTAATAAACAATAAAATGTACAGCTTTCATCAAGACCTTTACAAATGATGTCTTGTTAAAATACCACACAAATCCAATTCCAACATCCTTAAAGAATCCTCAGATTTTAAATTTAAATACTCTACTATTTATGTTTATTCCCTTTATTATTTTTGTACAAAAATACCAGAACAACAGAGGTAAAAATGATCACTTTCAACGATTCCTTTAATTTACTATTATAGACATGTTCTGAGGCACACAACCAGACTTACTGTTATTAATTTTATTATATTAAAGAATTAAACACTTTTTGAACCTGTCTTTAATAAAATAAATAGGAGGATTCATCATTTTAACCAGCCAATCTTATCATATAATTACATCCTACAATTATACTAATAAAGTTTTTGAAGAATAATATGGACATTGGCAGGAAAATTAACTTTTTCTTCAAAAGAACTTTCATATCTTTCATTACCACCTTCAATGATAAAATTAACTACATAATTTTGTTGAGAAAAGTGACCACAAATATACCAGGTCCACTAAAAACTAATTAAAATCCTAATTACACTTGCCTTAACAGTGAATGGCTTCAGCTGTACATTGTAGTGCATTAAATGAAATTAAAACCTAGACATGGTTATATGCACTATTTTATGCAAATAGTGTTTAGACTTTCTTTTGACATAAGACCCAAAATTATGACTACTGCACTACATTTCATACACAGTACAACATAAACCATACAATACAATTTTTATAACATTAATTGATATATAATAGAACTTCAAATTATTATAGCATTTCTCACATAAAACACAACACTATGAAAGTACAGCCAATATTTACGTTTACAAATTTGTGCAATGAGAAAGATTATGTGACATTTCAGAAATAACCAGTACAGGCTAGGTCACACAATTCATTATTTGGATGCCACAGTCTCACTGGCTGATGTTTTTCCCTTGGGTAGTTCCTTGAAATTACAGTTTCAGATTTCATAATTCTACTTCTTATTACCAAAAGAAAGGTTTACTGTTCATTCCCATTTCAATAACATTCATCGCATCATTCACTCTCATTACATTTCATTGTTTCAACATTTTTATTTAAATTGCTCATTCATCCATATTTATGTACCTGAGTACATAACTTACATACATACATACATACATACATACATACACAAACATACATGCACACATACATGTCAATTGTCTTTTCATTTAAAATCAGCCTGTAATACAGTAAAACAAAACTTACGATCAACTGTTAATTTACACCAGTAGTGGTCCAAAATATCAAATTGGGCTTAACCTTCTGTGACACTGTTTGGTTTGCAGTCCAAAACATTCTGCCTTACTGGAGCAACTTTTGCATCAATTTAACACCATTATGGGCTCATCGTTTCAATAGGAAGCAATACACAAATAGAATTTACTGCAACACGACATTGTTTAGGGACCACTGGTCTTTGAATTCTTGCACATTAATTGCTTGGTCGGCATTAAGAATTGTATTCTATAGATAAATATAAATGCAACAAATAACATTCCATCATTTCTATTTGGTAAATTTTGATTCTTCCAGAAATATTACAGAGGAACAACTGATATGAAATTTAGCTTCGACAACACTTCAAATTAAACTTTTGACAAGATGCAAACTCTTAGAACTGTGTTACTAGAAAATACACAGGCCCAGACAAGTTCAGTCTATCCACAGAAGTATTTTTTTTACCATAATTCAGAATTCTAAGAATTTGTGAAACAACACAGAGCTCACTTTTAGTTTTTGAACATGAATTGAGTAGTTCTACATTTAATTCCAAATAACCATAATTACTTTAGACAACAGTAACAACATATAACTGAGAATGCAAGAAAATAACACACATTAATACATCTGAGCCACAGCAGAGAGCACAAATCCAATTAGCAGTCACATAGTAAGAACACCATGTAAAATTCAACATCTAGGGCCAAACATTGCTAAATGACTCGTGAATAAACATTAAAGCTTCAGTTGGGACATTTAACTCACAGTTTAACATGTAAGTACAAGACAATTTGCTCCCACACATACCCTGTTTTGTATGATATACACCATAAAATTGTGCATTGACTTTTGAAGATACTTAATAGATTTCCTAAAAGGAGAAACGTTAATATATCTAACTCAAGACTCTTGATGAAATTCGTAAACTGGAAATAATAATTAGAAAATTAACTTACATTAAGAAATATTCTTTATCCTACAACCTAATATACGTTCCTATCTGAACAGAAACTGCACTCTATATACATGACGGTTTTCTAATACTTCAGGTAAAAAAATTATAATAAAAAAATTAGGCATATAAGTCTGTAATAAAAGGACCAGGAGTTTCACTGCCACTTCTCACAATACTAATTGAGAGTGTCATCTCATTCAACATTTAATTCTCAGAACTATTAATAGGAACTCAAAACAATGAACCTCATAACAACAGAAATGCACATGTATCTTGTTCATTAAGAATTTTAAAACAAACCATAAGAATTTTTGGTGGCAGAGTACCACTGGCCATGGTCAGTCAATATTGCTTACTCTCTCAACAAAATATGAGATGTTATAAATAAAAGCCTCTTTTTGTGTATAAACAGAAAGATGGCTACAGAATTTATATGGATACTTGCATTCTTATTGAATTATGCAATATTGAGAAACAATCTAATACACGAGATAAAACCAGTTAGAAAAATTCATTATATAAAATTATTTAAGATTGCACCATCCTCAATTTACACAATATAGATTTTTAAGTGTAAAATATCTTGTGGTCATTCCACATCAAATCAACATAGCAAAACTGTCATACAGTTCTATATTCTAAGACTACAACAAGCTTTTTATGACAACCAAATTTTCTCCATAAGTTGGCCTCATAGAGGAATTTATTATTTACTGGAGGGTTAAAATATAGAAAATAATTTTTCACTTCACCTTCTCTGAAGTCAATAAAAAACTGAACAACTTACAAACACACAACAAAACTTAAATATGTAATGGGTAACAAAATAAGGTTTCTTGAATTGTGCAGCTTTTCTTTTCTTGAAGAAAGCCAATTCAATAGATAATTAATTGATCTGAACTTAAAATTAAAAATAATGTGTATAGTTACACTTTCACATAATTATTAAATTGAACATCTAGGATATGAAATCAAGCACATGAAAAACTGAAACGTGTTCAGAATTAGAATACATTACAGATTTCAGTTGAATACGTAAGTTTGAAGTATAACATTCTAGACAGTACAAACAATTTTAGCATAAATTTATGTTGATTCGAGATTAAATGACCCCTGAAATTGCTTTCATTGTATTGTATTTATTATTCAGCAAAGTGCTTTTACGATTAAAATATTCATCTAAAACATTTTAAAATTTCCCTGTAAAAAGTTGGAGAAACGCACAGAATCCTCCTTTGCTGACCACTTTTGCTTTCTTCTCAGTATCTTCTTCACTTTGGTACCCTGTTATTCTGTAGTCATGGTTGAATGGTAGCTTGGGTGCACTGGCTGCTAGTTTAAAGGTTGGCACCTTTGCTTATAATTCCATCACAGTTGTTAAACTGGGTTGAAATGGAAAGTACAGTATTACAAATAGTTTTCAAATGTTAATGTAAATATATCCTTCGGTACAAGATCAATATCAATGAACATTTGAAATAAAATATTTGATGTTTATAAAAGAATCCAAATGATTGCACCATACTCATACACACCAACAAAAAATTAACTATATTTAATATCCTAGTCAGACAAATATAATAAAACAATGAAGAAAATTATTTCTACGTTATAGAAAAAAGACCAAATGGCCAGAAGGCTTTCAAAACATTTGTAAATCTCAAAACTCAGATTGAACACGACTCAATTTACTTACCCTCCACTTTCCTACATATCTAAGTTAGAATGGCCCCAAAGAAAACTACAAACCAACACACATTCACATTTCTTTTTGTTCTCTAGTCATCTACAAAAATCAGGAATTTTTTTTTTTAAACATACGTGAATACATTTCACCAATGATAAAAACTAAAACTGCTAATTACCAAACCTACAAAAATGGAATTTAACACAAAAAAAGAAATCAAGTTTGTTTATGGTTTCCCCCCCTCGTTTTGATTTGTTTGTTTTGTTGTTTTAGGTTCACTGATACGACTAATGGTGATTGATGAGAAATTTACCCGCACCTACATGATCCTACAGTTAAAACAAGTGTCAAAATCCGTGTGTATAAATTTTGTTTTTTAAAAAAGGAAGGAAATACAAATAATATTAATTTATAAATTTCTCACGGAAAGAAAACTAACAAGTCATTAATGATGAATAGTCATAAACCACTGTTTATGAAGAAGCCTACTAAACTAGATTGCAAAGAGAAATATAAAAAGCAACATTCAAGCATGCTATAGAGAAAAATTTCATTGAAACAGTAACTTCTGCTAGATTTTTTAATGCAATGCAGATAGTTCATTATATTATTCATATTTATCAAGAAATATTTGTATCAAATTAAGTTAATTCTAGCAACAATATTAAATACAGAGGTTTAAACAAACTCTTAGATTCAGGTTTCATAACCTAAAATCAAATAATCTGTGTATATTATTTTAAGAGTGCTAAAAAGTTAGAAAAGGAAAAATAAAATTAAAAAAGGGGTAGGGGAACAGAAGGGGAGGAAAACAAAAAAATCTACAGATATTAAAAGAGCTACAGATTTTAAAACATCTCAGAGAAAAAGAAATGTATTTACTATTTGAGAGGGAATGACAAAAACAAGAAAAGTGAAAAGAGAGAATAATATACACTGAGAAATTCGTTAAATATAAAAATTGGCATGAAAAGTGAAAAGAGAGTTCAATGACAGGGGACTACAAAAGGTAAAATTAGGTCAATAAAGAAACTAAGAAGGCAATGCAGAGAGAAAAGAATACAACAATGTCAAAGGAAGTTAAACAAGGAATATAAGGAAGGACAAAATGAAGAAAAAAATTAAACAAAAAACAAACAAACCACCTCAGCTGAGAAATTAAATCTATCTTTTAAACAGAGAAATGGAATGTTTCCAGTAATTGTTTGACCTCTAATTTTTTTGATATCTATTAAGAATAAAACAAAATGGTACACAGAACAAATGGAATTAAAATAAACATGGTTTGGCATTACTTTCATAAACTTTCAATGGGACAATATAATGTTTCTAAGATGACTCACACTCACACATGAAAAATGTATTATGAAGATAAAAACATTATGGTTAATAGTAGTTACAAAATCAAGCCATCTGTGGACAGTGAAAAATGTGAATTTGAATGTGCACAAATCTTCCATCAATAAAACAAGGTATAAAAATGCACTAATTTGAAGACAGACAGACACAGACACCCCCCCACACACAAACACCCACACGCACCACCCACCACACACACGCACACCCATCACACACACCACACACAGCCAGACACACTATTCCATGAAGTTATCATAGGGCCTCTTATAATATAATTTGAAATATCAACTATACAAAAACAGATCTTGCAGATAACCAATCAGAATAGCTTGCATTGCCAGGAGTTTTGTACTATTTATAAGATTTTTGGTTTACATTTTAGAATTTTTTTAAAAGTAGAGTTCTCTCTGAGACATTGAGACCAAATGCAGTAAACAAATATAGTAAAAAAATTGCAAAATTTCTAATATCAAGTGCTATACATTTTCACACATAACAATCAAAATAAGGACATGAACAAATCATGAACAAGAAAAGAGAAAATGTTAAGAACCCCTACAGAAAGTACAAAAGATAAATAGGAAGAAATGATGTTTTAATACGCACAATGAACTGAATATGCAGACTTTTCTTTAGTCAGAAAAAATTACTAAAAAATACATTTCAATAAAAGGTGACCCCAAAAAAATATGGAAGTATGATGAGAGTCCAGAACAGACAGTTTAACACATGAAAGAAAGCTTGCTGTATTCTTATGAATAACATATATTTTCATTTAAAAAGAAAAAGATGAGTGGAAAAGAACTAAGGTTTTCAAAAAATCAGAATCAAAACAGTTAAAAAAAATCACTATAGTAAGAGCAAACTTTCCATTAAAGGTGTGGCAGAAATTTAAACAAAATGAAAGGTTTTCTTTTTCAAGAGATTTTCATAATTTCTTACAACTAGTTATTTTACAAGCTCATGACTCGACTTTTAGATTAAACACCTTATGTACAAGTGCTTGATCATTTTTATAGTCCTACCTAAGATAAAATATTGTTTAATTAAATGTCTCAGACAGAAACATGACTATTTATTTTTAACTCTTCAAAATTGTTTTTATTTATATTATATTAGATTATTTACACTCATTTTATTAAATCCTGATTCTCATCAACTAACTAAAATGCTGACTCCCCTCCCCTCAATATCCCAGACTCGTGTGTATGGTGTGAAGTGTGTGTATACATATTTATATAAATAAATAAAAGTGAGAACATTATTATGCACTTTCTTAATAGAGAAATTATAATATTTAAAAATTAAAATACCATTTTCTCATTGTAAATTTTTTGCACTCTGAAGACTTGACATAGAAATTTCAAAAAAACCATAACAAATAACTTCCTTAGAGCAAAAAGAAACATCAGTTTTCATAAAACTGGAAAAAATTTAGACTATACATTGCAAAATAGTGCATACATAATTTTTAACTTCTCAGGGAACACGCTATCTCATGAACTACGACAACTAATCAAAAGGGTTTCCCTACATAACTATCTTTATCTACAAAATTTAAGTGTATGTGTAAATTAGCACCAACTGATCATGAATATTCATAATATTTCTTTCAATATGTATTATATTATTGGATAAAAATAATAATTTAAAGCAATTTTGCAAAATAATTGAATTCAGAAAAATATGGATTTTATTTCTAAAAAGGGATTAAAAACTGTCAGCCATAATTTAAGAAATCAATTGAAAATTGTAAGCAGCTAATATAAATATCACAACTATTATCAAGAACTTTAAATGCATAATTAAAATAGGAAGAAGTTATCTACCTACCTACTATTCTCTAAAACTTGCCAAAGAATTTGTGAAACATTTTAATTTCCTCAACAGGACAGCATGCAGCTGCTGTTTATTTACTCACCTACTGACAGAATCACTAACAGCACTTGCAACTGATGGAGTGTCTCTTGTGACACTAGGGTCAGGAGAATGGGGGTACATCTGAGGAGTGTTGGGATAACTCATGGAACCAGGTCCACTCCAACCTGGCACATGTGTCACTAGAAGTGGCTTCACATAGCCATTCACAGAAGTTGGCTGATTATCTGTGTATACAAACAAAAGTAAATCATTGCATCATGAAAAATATTATTTCCATCAGAATCAAACTTTTTATTAAAATTTGTACTGAGAAAGTGTAGTTGAAGATTGACAATACAAAAGATGCATGCAATTAGCAACAAGTGTATGACATGATACTGTATGACTTAATATCAAGAACGTATAATCTTGCCAGGAAAATACAAGCATGTTACACAACTACATGTTATTATAAAGTCAAGACTTTTCATATTGGATAAATATATTCTTGTAATGATCTCAGAGTAGCAGCATTTTACAGCAAAAATTCCACGATCCTTGCTTTACATTAGAAATACAACATAGTAATGCAATTGCAACTACAGGTGTTACAACAGACATACTATCTCACATTATTTCTTAATTAGCAATTTTTGAAAACACAGTTACAAAAATTGAGACTCACGCCATTCTTGTAAGCAACCCTTGTTCTTTTCGCGGAACAAAAAAAGTCAGTATTTTTTGAAAAAATGTTTTTTTTTCTTCATAATTTGCATTAATTTCAAGCAGAAATTATGCAAAAACTACTTATTTGCTTAAAAAAAGTACATTACCTTTTTTTAAGATTTGATTTTTTTTGAACAGATTTCACCTTAAACTAAAATTTCTATCTTCAATATTGTATTTTTACAATTTTTGAAGAGATCTTAAAAAATTCAGTTTGCTAAAAATGGGACTAGCACCATTTTTTAACACTGTCCTTTGATATGTATGAGAAAGTTTAAAGAAAAAAATGTTGGAGACAGTTCTCCGCAAATTTTGAAAATTGTTAAAGCTTCATTTAAAGTACTGCCAAAAATGAAAATATCTGAGAGGTTTCAGATTTCCTTTAAATTGATCGAAAAATATCAATTTGAGAAAATCAGCAATACTTTCTCTTCTAACAAAGTATGGGTGAGAAAGTAAAAGTAATAAACAATGACAACAAACACCAATCTGAGTTTTCAATTTTAAGTATAAATATTCTTAAAAAAACATACCATTAAAAGGAGTGTAGTACTTTCCAAATGCTTGATCTTTTGGAATTTCTGGATATAAGTAAACAAGATGTTGTAAATCAGAGATTCTATCAGCTAGACTACGAATTGCAAAATCTTTGCTGGTGAATGGCTGCAACATGAATACCTCCGTTTGTTCTGAAACTCGAATCAATTTTATGCAGTTAACACAAGGTAGTGCTCAGAAATGTAAATGAAATTAAAAATGTATGGTCACAATGACAAAAAATGCAGACAGTCAACTTACCACCCACCCATGCAATTGTTACACCTCCTAATTCAGAATCTGAAAATCTCAGAAGGAAAGTACCATTGGCACATGCAGATAACATTTCTTCTGCTTGCTTTTTGCGAACAAAACCTAAAATGTATCTGAAAACAAATACAGATAAAATATACAATCAAAATGAAGGCCAATGTTGAAAATCTAGGAGGCATTTTGGGTTTTAAGGCGTTCAATGAATCTGGAGCCATGGGGATGTCCGGCAAGAGAAGATTCAAATTCACAAAACTATTACTACCACTGCAACCACCACCGCCACCGAAATCGCCACCGCCACCACCACCGCAATCACCAGCACCACCAGAACAACCGCCGCCACCACCGCCGCCACCACCACCACCGCCGCCACCGCCACTACTACGACTACTACCACTACCACTACCACTACTACTACTCCTGCTGCTGCTATCCCCACCCTCCATCACACAGACATTGGTAACCTCTCCCCCTTGAACAGTACCAGTACGACCACCACCACCACCACCACCACCACCACCGATGCCACTGTAACCTCCATGATCCCTAGCACTATGTCCATTGTTACCCTCCCCCCTATTGCAACTGCGGTCTCCTATGACAACCACCACCCTCACTACTACAACTGACACCCCTTGCTAAAACGGCCACCTCCACCACTATGACCAGCATCAGTACCAATAAGAATTGTAATATGCATCAAAGAGATCAAGAAATGAATATGTTATTCTGTATTCAATGGAAAGAAAACTGAAGATCCAATCATATCACATTCTTAAAACTGCTGTAAAACAATGTTGCTTCACTAGAAAGATCAAGACTTAGACAATCAAGTAATATTTAATGTCAATGCATGTGAATATTTCAAATGATACATCACAACTAATACAAGTTATCAAAATATCTATAAATTTTGATACTCAGTGCCAAGTTTAGTTAAACAATTCTACGAACATACCCATCATTCCAAGGTCCACGGAGGTGTTCGCGGGTCAACTTCATTACTGCATAAAACCATTCCCAGAAAGTAAAATTGCGCTCTGGGAGGGGCTCCTTGCAAAATTGGGACCAACTCAACATCATTCCACTGTAGTCATTTACTTGAGTCCTTAAAATAAAAAAAACAATATTTTCCAGTTAACAGTGATACAATGCTGGCCAATCTTTTACAAAATACATGCAACTGCTACTGAAAGAAAATACACTTGTGGAACTAACAACAGTACATACTTAAATGAAAACAGCTACCTATTACTATAATATTGCACATTCTATCCAATATTTCAGGCATCACTTGAAAAACTTGTTCTATATACTTCAAATTAATGTTAAAGATTTTGATCTTTCTCTTTGAAATATAACTCAAAATTACACAAAAACTACTAATATTGAAGAACAGATTGCATTAACAAAAAAACTAGCTTTAATATTGGGATAGCGGGAAAAAAACACCTTCAATTACACTCAAAATTACAAAACACTACAATTTGAAAAAAAGTGTACACGAGTTGGGTAAAGGATCTAATATTGAGAAAAAGATCACATTAAGAAAGAAAACTCCAATTTTCACTCTCGCTCACTCTCTTTCCCTCTCACTTGCTCTCACTCTCGCTCGCTCTCTTTCCCTCTTGCTTGCTCTCACTCTCGCTCACTGAAACAAAAATTGGAAGCGGTTTTCGAGAAAATAGTTTTTATGTATTTTTAAAATATGACATATCTCACTCAATATTATATGATATTTTGTATTTAAAAACAATAGTACATGTTATTGAACAACCTAAACTCAAACAACAACTTTCATTTTAAAAAAATCTATGTTTTCTATCAGCAAAAATTTTGTTCTCCAACGAGACTTGAAATCAAGTCCTTTCAGTTAACTCAGAGGGACCCCTAGGCCGTGAATTTCAAACTCCCCTAATGCCGTGAATTTCAAACACAAGCCGTCGCTTGAAATTGTCTCAAACCAATATTTTCAGCATGAGTGTTTTGTAATTTCTGAAAAATCAGAGCTTTCAACGAAAATGAGTTCCTATACCATTCTCTTAACCTTCATTCACACTATCCAACAACAGTCAATAAAAACAACAACAATGGAACCATTTTTAAATGACCCAGGGGCTTTATGTGAAGTATCTCCAAAAATTAAAATATGGGTTTCAATTTCAAAGGGCCATGACATCAGCCAGATCATTTGAGGAATATCAATTTTGGAGAAAATCGGTGGAATGGTTTAGGCAGTAGCGTTGACCACAGACCAACAGACAGACGGACAGAAGTTTTGCGGTTAATCAATTTTTGGGTATCAAGGACCCACAAAAATGGATTCTAACTACACAAAGTATTTGAGGGAGAAATTTACTACATATGTATCTATAAAACTTATTTGCGTTTGGGGCACTACTGATCACACAACACATTTCTCTCTCCGAGGCCCAGTTTTATTATATCCTGGAGAGATCAACACGTTGAATTTTTTTATTATTATTATTATTATTATTATTATTATTATTATTATTATTATTATTATTATTATTATTGTTATTATTATTATTGTTATTGTTATTATTATAATTATTATTATTAAGTGGTGATGAGGGGTGAAAGGACTAGAATGATGGTAGGTGGGGTAGTGCGAGGTGGAATGTGTTCGTGGGATTTTGGAACCATTCCAGCATTCGCCTTGCAATCGGGGGAAACCATGAAAATTCTGCTCAGGATGGCCAGCCTGGGGATCGAGCCTGGAGCTCCCGATTGCGAATCCAGTGCTATGCACTGAGCCACTTTCCACGGAAAAAATGCATGATTTATCCACTATCCACCAAGGCCCTACAATAAACGATATTTTGTTGAAAATTCTTTTTTTTTCTGGAGTACAATTACATTCATACATTTGTAAAGTTGAGAAAGTTAAAAGGATGATAAAATGCAAGTATACATTATTATCGGAATATTTGCACATAAAGATTTTTTATTTACAGACGTTTGTAGATACAACATTGTATGTATTAATATTAAAAGTATGTATTAGGCTGGCTTCATTATTTATAAAGAAATATTGTTAATTATTTAAAAAAAAGTAGCTTTGAGTTTAAAATAGGACAAGAAAATAATAGTATACTCTTGTCACAACTTACCAACAATGTGGAAATTATGCATTTTTTAGCGTAAATTTACAAGTTTTTTTTTTAACCTACTGTGAGATGAATTTCAAAGTCCAAAATTATAAAGCAGTTTGATATGATAGTTATCTTTCACATGCACAAATTTCATATTTTTATCAGGTTTCCAACAGAGTTATTGTTGAAAATTTGCAAAAATCCAAAACTCCATTGGGGCTTTACTTTTTAAAGTAGTACAATTCTTACCATTTATATTGAACACAAAGTACTATACTGATGTAAAAAAGCCAAACAACTCCTTTCAGAAATTACTCTCTCAAAATTGAAATTGTTCATTCATGTTTGATGATCTTTGTGGCCAATATGACCGGAATATAAATACATTAATTAGGTAAATAACACTTTGATTTGAAGACAAAAGGGTACTAAACCAAATGCATTATAGTTTACAAAGCTAAAACAACTCAACATTGGTTAATTTAGAAAAAGGTAAATGTCTACAAACAAGAAAAATAGAGTGAGCCTTACAACAAAAATGGCCACCATTCGTGAAGTGTGTATAATAAGTTTTTGCTGATGTACACAAGGATATCCCCATACACATTTCTTACCAACAGGGCACCATCCCAGTGAGGTCAATCTCTAATCCGGTCTCCCGGCAAATGTGGTAGTGTAATGCTGTAAAGTGTAAGTGTGTGTAGGGAAGGGGTGACGATAGCACAAGGGAAGAACACGCACTCTCCATGGCCTGTTTGCAAAGAGTACTGCTCTTGCATTCACATGGTATTTATTTATTAGACCTGGAGAAGCCACGGAACGTTACCGATCAGAGCAGGCAGCCACTATAATTCCCCTCCAGACAGTGGCTGAATTTGACATATTTATCAAGCTAGAGTCCAAAATCCATCTTGAAGACACGCCCTGACATGCTACATTATAAAAACCGAAGTATAACCCATGTCACTAGGTGACCACGTGTCAACATGCATACAAGTTCGCGGTACCAACCTTGATGCAAATATTACTCGCAACCCAATTTTCAGCTGGCAATTTTTGAAAAAAAAGAAGTGTGGGTTATATTTGAGTATATACAGTATTTAATACCTCCACAATTCCAATAATCAAGAAAACATTCCCATGTTGTATGTGTCTAGTAATATAGTTGGTTGTAATGTGAGCAATAATTTAGACTCATTCATGCCAAACTAACTGGTGAGGGAGGAAGGAACATAGTACAATGTAGAAATGATTCACATTCAGTTTTTCCATATAATTTTTGGAATTAATGTTCACATGAAAACAAGTTGTTCTCATTGCTAGAATTCAGAAGAAGTGGACTTCAAAACTTCTATTTAAATAAATATTATTTACGTAGATTATTCTTGGATTGAAAGTGTGTTTAGTTGCACTGATGAATGTGCGAAGACTTTGATATTCAATGATTTTAAGCTATCCATTTACCTTCGATGTTCACAGCCTCCCTTTGAATGTCTCGATCACAGAATTCATTTTAACCTTTCAGGGAAGGAACATTATTCCATGCCTCAGCCTGCTGATGAGGGATGATTTTTCATATTGCTACACAGAATGTTCATTGTTCAGAAGAAATTGTTACAAATACCTTATTTTCTAATATATTGCACCAAGATTTTGAACAATGGCTTCATCTACAATTTCTTTTATTTTGTATGAGCATTGTTGTACATTGATGTAAAACATAATGCACAAATAATTAAGTGAATTTCCAGAACATTTATTAATTCCAGCAAGGCTTTAAGGATAATACAAGAATTATTACAAAAATATCGTAATTCATGATAATCAAGGATGAATTTCAGGATAAAATTGTCAACCTTAGCATGTATCTTATTCATTTTCTTTCAAAAGACATGCAATTTCAAAGATAAAATGTTTGTAAGAGGACTTCGTTTTGCAGTATGATAGAGTAGAATGTTTTGATTTGCATATTGATTGGACTACTTATAAAGCCATGTAATGTAAATGCATATGAATGTAAAGTTTCATTCACTGTCTTCAAGGCTGTGAAAGCAGATTTCCAATATTTCATAATTTGCCCAGAGAGAGCAGAAGGAAGCAGAGCCTGGACCTAGCATAACAGAAACATTGCTCCACACACATAGATAGAAACAATCCATGTGCAGAGGTCATCTCACATGAAGGGTTAAATTTCTCACAATGTTACAGCCATGATTTGTATCAATTCTTACTTTTTTTGGTGGCAAAATGGAAATAATCTTAACCCTTTCCGCACAGATTCCCTCTTCATATGTCCAACATGTGGTGGGCCCCAGCACTCTCCATTTCAATGGCAAGTTGGCACAGGAACAACAGCAAGTTATTATAAAGGGTAAAAATAAATAAGTTGAAACACAAAACATTACCTTCACAGTAGTAATGGCTCTAGTATTATAATTTAATAAATCAACAATGGATTAGCACTAAAAGTTGCAAAAACATGCTACCAGAAGGCTGCAAAAATGACCTTGCATACGGACGCGATGACAATGGTCGAGCACAATGTGCATAAAATTGATTTGGGCGTTAGTGGGTTAAACACAAAATATTATCTTCGTAACGTAATTTAGATAAATCACTACTGGCAGTAATAGAATTGAATTCATTTAAATCGCTCAGTTAGGCATAAATGCTTTGAGAACGACGCCACTGCTATTTGCATCTAGTAACATCTGCGCAGAAAAGAAGATACAGTATATTTCAAGTTAAATGAAGCAAATCAGTGGAAAAAGTAAACCAGTAAAAATGTGGATCTTGTCATATGAGATGGCTCAACTATATAGCACTGGTTCACACTGAGGGAAAAAGGACTGATACTGAGAACAGTGTGGGTAACTGGGTGGGCCATAGGAGTGGAACAGGAAATTATGCTATGTCCCACCCTGTGGGACAATGGTGCAGAAAGGGTTAGTCATCTGTGAAAACTTAACCTAGTCTAACTGCACTTTTTGAACTGATATATCAGTTGGTGAATGAATTTCATGAAGCAATGCATTTTTTGGCACTGGCTCATTGTTTTACAATCATTCAAAATAATCATCCTCTGACCAGAACTGAGTATAACCCTTTAACTTTTAGGTTAACAAACCCAATTATCAAGAATAAATATTCTTTGCCACTGAACACCACCTTACAGTTACACACAAGGTTTTAGTTTTATTTACCTGAAAGCCTTCTCAGCTAAAAACCTCAAATTTTCTTCAGTAAGTGAACGGCCTGTGGCTGCCTTGAACTTCATATTTAAAGCATCAGCCACTTGTAGCCATGCTACTTTATCAGGAACAGCGAAGGGAATTCTTCCTGGTTCAGCAAATGCATTGTCCCAAGTAACAGTAGCCCAAGCATGTGGTTCCTGATTTCCATGAACAATGACAACAACAGGAAGAGACAGAGTCCAAACCTTGGGAAATATTTTAAAAAAAATTAATATTAGTCTCAAAACAGATATACACAAGAAACACAAAACAGAAAGAAAATAAGGAAGTAATCTTGTGCCATGTATTTCTAAATGTATGCTTTTTAATTTTTTTTAAATATGTTCTTTTTTTTTACAGTTTCATTATTCTGGTAGTTTACATTACTGGTACAATTAAATATAAACATGCATATACAATAACCAATATACAAATCATGTAATGGAATTACTGAGTATAAAAGTACCTCACGAGGCATGTTATATTCATATATTTAATTACAATTACCTCTATGCAACCTACTACTGTTTGAAACTCATCAGTAAGCCTCTGAAGTCAATACTCATAATTAATAATATCATTTTTCATACACTTCCAGGTCTTACTTATGTTATAATTAATAAAAAATATCAGTAATAACATAAAATAAAGTACCTGGAAAACAAGCTCGCCACCGCCAACTGAAAATTGTGACTGAAAAAGAAGGGAGAATTTCTCATCCATAACCGATTCAGTTCCCTTCTTTTCAGCACGCTTTATCTTCTTTAACTGCATGTTCCTTCAAAAAACAAATAAAAAATTTCAAATGCAATTCGTATTAACCCTGCAGTAGTATACCACAGATCCCCAGTCCATATAAATTTACATTTCTTTTTCCTTTTAATATCTGTAACCATTGGAATCATGTAATTTCAGGACCTTCCTACAAACAACAGTTTCAAACAATTCTTTCAATTTGATTTGACAAATGCAGTGACATCAAAGTTATCAGCAATTGTGGGCTTCATGTCCATCACGATTAAAGGCATTACATCCATTGCTGAGATTGTTTATACCAGGAAAAGAATAGATATGTAAGTAAAGGGACTGAAATTTGTAACTCTCAAGTGTGATGGAACATTTTCGAATGATAAAACAATTCACGAATATGTTATAGAACTGTAAAACACTTCCCAGATATTAACTTACAAAATTAGTCTTTCTTTGTTATTATTTTTTCATAAAAATATGCTTAGCATTCCAGACCTTCTAAATAGATTTTTTTTTATACCTAGTAATGTTTCACTGATATACACAGTGTTTATATATATATATATATATATATATATATATATATATATATATATATATATATATATATATATATATATATATGTATATATATGTATATAACACTGTGTATTCCTACATAGCCAAGGGTGGATAAAGATCAAGTAGATCGATATATATATACAGTGAGAACTGCTGAACAATATATATATATTGAATTTTAACGAACCTGAAACTGACAGATAGTTGCCTTGTAGCTTGGTGATATTCCATTGTTCCAGTATTGTTGAGGATATCTCCACTAGCTTCACTTTTTGCCATCTTGTCATTCTTGAGAAGTGCATTAGCTTGTGCTTCACTTATTATAGTAACTTTGACCTACAGCAAAACCACATTTCTATAATTCTTTTTATTTTTATTTTTAATTCAATATAAATTTTTCCAGAAAAACCAACCTGTGGAGGTGTCATATGTACATTCAACTTGCCACCCACCAAAAGACGTACAGTAGATGTGAATCTAGTGTTTGTTTTCATCACCTGCGGTGGTTGTTTCTCAATTATGAAAGTACTGCAAATATTGGCAACACATTAATTAACTGGAGAAAACAGGAATTTAAGAAACTAAACTATTGATCAAACTTGAAAAATTTGTTATTTTACCTCGTCACAAGTGAAGATAACAACTGTGTTATTTTGCTATTTAGATTTGGTAACATATCAACAACACCAGGTGGATCTAAATTCAACTTCACTTTCAATCTTTCTGCTTCCTTGATCTGTTGACGATTCAGCCAAATAATCTCAGCCAGTGTCTCACACCTATAAATTTGAGTAATCCAATAATGGTTCCAATATTTATTAACATATTTATTAATTTATTATTATTTATAATAATAATCATTTTATTATGGGGTGGATTTTGATGACATGACAAAACTACCACACACACTAAAAATGACCAATAAAATGTTCTTAAAAAGGCTTTTATACTGCCCTAAAAGAAAAGGAAAATGTACAAAATTTAATTAAACCCAGTTCAGATGAACAACACAAGCTGTTGAATATGATATAGATGCAATCGAAGCTTCTTTCTTTCATTCAAGTGAACTCAGCTTGCAAACTTTTAGTTTGGACAGTTCTTTACCAGGAAAACTCAGACTTTTAGTTATTACAAAATTAGCCCAACCAATAAATGGCGTGGATAGGCATCACAAGAACCTTCGATTACATATTCACAATGACTGACACTACTAATTCTGAGTGAAGAAATCGAATAGGCTCTTTGGAGAACAGTTATTGCATTGCGTAAATATTATTTGAAGTAAGTCCCATCAAAATTATATTGAAATTGACAAAATTGGCAAAAAATGCTTTAAATATGACGGAAAAAGGTAAAAAATTACCTTTTTGAAATTGACAAAAAGTGCAAAAAATTCGTATAATAATGGGCCATTTTTTTGTCGTAACATATAATTAATGTCTATTAAAATTAACGTATTTTAGTAAAGACACTGTTCTCAAGAGAAAGGAGAAAAAATGACATTTCATTAAAAACGACCCCCTAATTACTACTATTATATTAAATAATATTATTATTATTGTTGTTAATATTATTCCGTAATCATAATTGTAGTGTGCAGTACACAACATAACTTGTATAACATATCGAAATAAAGAATCGTACATTGCATGTTGCACATTACCATTCTTGTATGGTGTCCAAATTATTGTTGAATTGAGCCCCATTTCCTTGAAGTTGTTGTTCACGTTTCCATCTGATCAGTTCATCATCCAAAACTCGAGATTGTAAGCCATTCAGATGAGAGAGAGTATCTTTCAGTTTATCTGCTAATGTCAGCCGTAACTGCATCAAATTTGCAACCTAGGGGAGGATTACATCACTTCAACCATCAATTATAACCATAACCATATGATTATTGCCAGGATGAGTTCCACAACTAAAAATTATCGACAGTTACATCATGGGATCTCTGGAAGCTATCTAACAATTTCCGAAGCACAAGTGATATATCAATGGACTTATTTCACAAATATAATTTACTTTGGAAAGGGCAGTTAATATACACCACCAAACACTGTTTCATAAACTAGTGCTGGAAAAACAAAAGAGGAGGAGGAATAGGAGAAGAAGAGGAGAAGAAGAAGAGGAGGAGAAGAAGAGGAGGAGGAGAAGAAGAAGAGGAGAAGAAGAAGAGGAGAAGAAGAAGAGGAGAAGAAGAAGAGGAGAAGAAGAAGAGGAGGAGAAGAAGAAGAGGAGAAGAAGAGGAGGAGAAGAGAAGAAGAAGAAGAAGAAGAGGAGGAGAAGAAGAAGAAGAGGAGAAGAAGAAGAAGAAGAGGAGGAGAAGAGAAGAAGAAGAGAAGAAGAAGAAGATAAGAAGAGGAAGAGAAAAGAATAAAAGAGAGAAAAGAGGAAGAAGAATAAAAAAGAGAAAAGAAGTGGTGGAAGTTAAAGCAACAAAGTGGAATGAAACTTACTGCTATGGTTTAAGTTTTCTATCAATAATTTTCCACTGCCAGTATTTGTAACCCTAAATCAATATTTTTCACTATGAAACTCCTGCTGAAAGAAATGCTGAGTCAAGCAGTGAAATCTTATTAGCATGTTTTCCAAGACACAAGAAACGAAGTCAGAAGCAGAAAAATAACACCAAAACCAGCCATATCAAACATATCAATCAAATTCAAAGTAAATCATGGTAGAAAGACACCAAACCCAAGAAGCAATTATGGTAGATGTATTTCCAAGCACATTTTTCTGGCTCTGGAATCGTAATAACACTGAAAACGCACCAAAAAATGTGTGTTCGGAAAATGCAAATACGTCGATTCTACTGGGAAAAAACAACAACAACAACACTTTAGTAGATTATTGAATATGTAAATGGATAATTTCATGAATTTGGGAGTGGGACTTAAAACAATGGATGTGCCAGTCAGGAAAACGCAGAAAAGGGAAAATGTTCTAATGCGATTCCAATGGACTTCCCAACAAGTTGGGACATTTCCTAACATTACTTCATTTTGGTTCCTTTTTCACAAACTAACTTACACACATCTACTTATCTAAGGAGCATGAATCTAGTAGTCAACAAGTAAGGTACAACATGCAAAACTCTCACTACTTTCATGTTCGGCTGAGACATTAATAAAATATTTTCACCCAAATAAAGAAAATTAATTAACAACCATTATACACTAATTTTGAGAAATTACCTGGAGGTAAGTAATATTTTTTCAGTAAAATAAATAAATAAATTTAAAATAAAGAGAAATGTTCACATCTAAATATATTCGTAGCACTCGTGCATATTGTATTCAGTTAACAACTCTTAACCATAGCATTTTTGAGTCATTTTTAATAAATTTACTCTTACCTTCATGTATTTGTAATAGTGTGGAAAATTTGTCGGGTAATTCAGACCCATAATTTTTGAAGGAAAAGATATAATTTCAAACAAGGGGCATTATGAAATGTAATGTGAAAATTAATGCCACGATTTTGTTAGAGTGTGTGACAAGGCTGTGCAGAATGTTGGTTTGATGCCTGGAGAGTGTGAATCTGTTTTTTGAACTGTTAAAGCAGCAGAAGCCTTCAACAAGTGCAGGACAGATAGAAAATTTAGTGAGACAGAAGGGAATGTTGTTAGGTGGTATCTCATGAAAGTCTTAGAACAATGTAAATTCAAGTTGAAAAACTTCAGCAGGGGGCATAAAAGGTTAGATGAAGCATGGAAGGAGGACCAAAAAGAAACACTGATATATGTGAAAATGATGAGGATAGTGACAAAAACCCACGATATTGATCTTAACATTCTCATCAACAAGGAAATTTTCTAGTCAATAAAAAAATTTGAAATTTTATTTTGACTAAAAAGTCAAAATAATGTTGAGAATTAGTTTAAAATTTTAAAAATTCTCAGGAGGCATCTCCAAAATTAGGTTATCTAATAGTCAGAGTCTACTTATAGTCAGGTAAATAGAGTAATTTTGGAAAAAATCCTATGTGTGGATTAGGCACTTTCACCTTCAAGCCCAAGCTCAGCTTGGACCATCTCTTTTGTCTCAGCATCCCACATTCGAGTGAAGCTCGCTCTATTGACTTCCCACTTAGTTTTAAGGATTTAAGAGCCTGAATTCTATTTTCATTTGAATGAGGACCTTGTCCCAGGCATGTGTTGGATTTCTGTACCATTTTGAGATGATCAATGAAAAGAAGTAGGTGAATGAAGTACTGCTTAATTCACTGTCAGGTGTGTCAAGTCTGCTAAGGTCCACCTAAATGTAGTACATGAACGCATTCAAGGATGAAGACATTATGGTAGTACCCAGATTGCTGTACCTCTCTTTCACTGCCGATTTTTTTAAACTATATTCAAATAAAAGCTAATTTTTATCAAAAAAACAAAAACTGTATTAGCACAGATTTCTGTGTGTTAATTTTAAGAAAATATAAAATAAATTTTGAGTCTAGTCTTTGCAGACATTTTACATTTTGGTATCACTTAAAATCCCATTTTTTTTCTTTTTGAAAATGAATAGAATATTGCAGAACTTTATAAGTGTAAGTAGGAGTAGCTGGTTAAATTGAGGTCAGAAATGCCCAGGATTCAATGAGTAGGGAGTGTTATGGCCAGGATGCAGTGTTACAGATTGTTCATGGATGAGTCAGATGGAGACAGGCATTTTGAAAACAAACATTTTTCCTCATAGGGAATCTCAAAAATATACATTTCCATCAAAATCTAAAGAAATATTTTTGCAACATTCCAAAACTTTCTCTATAAAGCAAAATTGAATAAGTGATCAAATTGATTTAATTATGTACCTTCTGATTCAACATCTGTTCCAGCATTTCTTTCTGACGTCGTAATTTCTTTTCAACTTCGATGTTCTGTTGGCTTGGAGGTTGAGTCTGACCTTGAGTCTGCAAATGTTGTAAATGAGCTGGAAAGGAATGAGTCAATAAAATATATAGTTCTTGAAGGGTTCTGTAACTCTTTGTCAATAGGATACAAAAAACTGCATGAACAGCAAAGACACGATTTTCTAGTCGAAAGAAATATATTAAGTTAATATACTCGCTTAAAATTTTAAGATAAACAACAATAGAAATGACTATTTCCCCATGTAAAGATGAATTAAAAATTCCTGTGCTTATGGAGTTCTCATGTTGTTAAGTATCAAGAAGTTACAGACATTTGCTTGTGAAACATTAACATGTTTGTTCACTATTAATTTCATGTTTGTAATTTGTATCGATTTCATTTACCGTTTTTAGAACAGTCTGCAAGCACCAAAGTAGATGATTGTGAAAATATGATCCTCCCCGCTACCACTGATGGCAATATTTACATTGATATTAATTCATTCTAATGCCCAAGTACTGACATGATTGTATGTTATTGTGTCCGTAACATCGTATTTGTTGCCAATTCAATCCTGACATGATGGGGAAATTGAAGAGTTCTCATTGTGAGATTAATCGTTCATTTGAGAGCTCTTCTCTTACTTGGACAGAAATTTACTGTGCACATTAGTACAGATCCAAACAAATACCCAAGTGGTTTTGAATATTATAAAATCTTAAAATTACAATATTTTATTATATCAAATTATTCTATTTAAATGCATTATGTACTCCACAAAATGGGAGGTAAAGACACTAGCTAATTTCCTCTCTCTTTACTCCCATTCCTCCAATTCTGTACATACCATTTAGTTTGGTGCATTCATGATACTGCAAAGCAAATGATTCCTGTTCTTGTTCCATTTTGCGAAGGTCTTCACCAGTTTCCTGTGTGCGTCTGCGTAAAAAATCTAATTGTTGTGCAATTTCTGCGCTTGAGTCTGGAACTAGTGATAACCCTTGGCCCATACCATGACCTAGTGCTACCTGTACAAAAACCAAAAGATAAAGAGTTATACAATTTATATATTAAAAAAAACAAACAAAAAACTGTAATGCTAAAAAATTATATTGGCATTGTCCACAAAATCATCTTTGATGAACTAAATACATGCGATATTTTTATAAAGTTAAAAAGAGAGTTCTTTTTGTAACAAAGCTGTAAGCGGTGGCGATGGTGTAACGGTTAGCATACTGGACTGTTGTACCCAAGTTCGCGGGTTCAAACCCGATCGAAGCCGTGGATTTTTAAGGGCGAAAAAATCCTTCGTACGCCTTCCTTTGGAGGGGAAGTAATGCCGGCTGTCCCATGTTCATAGATTTACTTGCATGTAGAAGATCCTCAAGCCTAAATGACGCCCCTGAGCTAAATTCAAATCACCTGTTTATCGCCCAAGAAATACCTCCTTTCTCTCCTAGTTGGTAAAAGGAGCGTAGCGAAATTTGCGTGGTCAGACAGAAGAGCGGGCCTGATGACCCGAGTCTCACCACGTAAAAAAAGGCAAATTCAATTCAATTCAAAAAGCATTAATATAATTAAGAAATTATTGCAAAAAAATGTTCTGCTGTTTTGGTTACCTCAAACTCACTCATCCATTTGAACATAATTCACCAAGTAGAGAGCGAAAGAAAAAGAGACAGACAGACAGACACAGACAGAGAGAGAGACAGACACAGACAGAGAGAGAGAGACAGACAGACACAGACAGAGAGAGAGAGACAGACAGACACAGACAGAGAGAGAGAGACAGACAGACACACACAGAGAGAGAGAGAGAGAGACAGACAGACACAGACAGAGAGAGAGAGACAGACAGACACAGACAGAGAGACAGACAGACAGACAGACACAGACAGAGAGAGAGAGAGACAGACAGAGAGAGAGACAGAGACAGACAGAGAGAGAGAGAGAGACAGAGACAGACAGACAGAGAGAGAGACAGACAGAGAGAGACAGACACACAGAGAGAGACAGACACACAGAGAGAGACAGACACACAGAGAGAGACAGACAGACAGAGAGAGACAGACAGAGAGAGACAGACAGACAGAAAGAGACAGACAGAAAGAGACAGACAGAAAGAGACAGACAGAAAGAGACAGACAGTCAGTCAAAGAGAGAGACAGACAGAAAGAGACAGACAGTCAGTCAAAGAGAGAGACTCAGACAGAGACAGGGATTGTACGTGCGAGTCACATAGGGAGAAACGGACAGCAAGATAATATATGAATAATAGATTTTAAATGAATGAGTTTGGAGTATTCCAAAGTAAAAGATGGTAAAATAATAAGTAAAATAATACAGTGGTAGGATTGTTAAGTCTCTCACAGATCGGCGCGAAACATTCGGAGAGAATATGGAGAATTTCATATCTTGATACTTTCAACATCGAAAGGTGTTGAAACGCTTTTGCTTTCACTTTTCCTTCAGGACAACTTTGATGGAATTTCGAATCTCATCGCATAAGACATTAGAAAATTTGATACTTAACTATAATGAAGCTAGTTCACCTGAAGAACAATTTGCCATTGCACTAATGTGTAAATATTCCATTAATGCCAATAGGAAGATAAGAGAGAAGGGAAAAGAGGGGAAGAATTCGGAGGAAGCAGGGAAGAATAATAGAAATTCAACCAAGCAAGCTCTGGAGAGATGGCATGGAGGGAATTCATTAAGCTATGATCAAATGACTAAATTAAAAAATTAACGAGTAAAAGAAAACTGAAGAGGTGTGAATGCATAACGAAGTTAACTCCTTATCGCAAATTGCTTATACATTAAGACAAGGGGGGGGGGGTTACGGTCCTTCAACAGCTAATGTCAACGGGGCCTACAAGTTATCTAATAAGTAGATGAGGTGAATTATGAAGGATAAATGGTGGAATGAAAGTCAGACGAATTCTGGAAATTCCACGTATATTGGGCAGGGAACAAACACAGATCCCAGTGAAATAAGCATTCTTGTATGTGCTAACTATTAAGTCATGGAAGTGCACTGGAAAGTCATTCAAAATCAATTTTTTATTCCTATTAATAATCAAGACTACTTTTCAGTTTTGGTCTATTCTCTTCCTGCTAAGCTTCAATATTCTTATATGTGCATTTTCACATTAACTACTCAATTCCCAATAAGATAAAAATAAATAAATAATTCAAAAAAATTATATTTATTATATCTTACATGTTTGGCTGATATTTCAACTTACATTTTCCACTTGTTGAACCAGCTTCATTTCCGTGTTAAGACAGTGGCGAATTATTCGGAAGAGGTTGAGGGGATTGTGCACATATCTTTGCTGAAATTGGGAAAAAAAAATCTTAATTTGCATATTACAACACTATTGATGCTTACACTAAAAAAATCAATTTTCAGCTCTCTCTCCTCAATAGAAACATTGAATTGTTTTATTACGAAGAAAACAAATGTTCTTAATGTATGTGGTGCGACTTCTGTATTGCAAATAAAGTAACTTGCAGAGAGAGAGTATCCCATCGAAAAGAATTAAAGGCATTTTTGTGTAAAAAGCTATTTCACCTGTTCTATTCATTACATAAATAAAGTTATTGCACAAATACTAATTTAAATATAACTAAGTTGCTAGATCAATGTAGTTAAGGATAATCTAACCTTGTTGGTGTTAATGTTACTGTTCGTGCTTCTTTAACATTGCAGTTCATATAGTGCTGTTGTAGTTATGTTGAAATTCTTTATTCACAGTAGTGACAACGATAAGCAGTTATTGTACATATGTTTACACTGTACTGACGACAACTCTGTATTTTTAAGTTAACCTACAGTATATTTACATGAATTTGTTGTCTTAGTTTCAATGCAATTAAAAGACGTTTATTCCACAAGTTCACCACATGACGATATGAAAAGTGCTCACTGACTGAAGTTAGATTTCTCTTTTTGCTGCTTCATAGTGTGACTTCTCCATCTTTTCTCTATGTAAAATGAATAATTTATGATAATGCACAATTACTTAAAAGCCTTAAAATTTAGTGGATTTCTATTGTCTCCTCTTTCCCTTCTGTACGTGAATGTCGACAGAGCCATCTCCTGACACCACTTTCAATTTTCTTATTGATGTGCATTACGGACGCTCGCTCTCTCTCGCGCGCTCGCTCTCTCTCGCGCGCTCGCTCTCTCTCGCGCGCTCGCTCTCTC